AATAAAGGGCGAAACAGACAATTCAACAATATTATAGTTGTCAACACTCCACTTTCAATAATACATAGAACAAACAGGCAGAAGATCAATGAGGAAAGAGAAAACTTGAGCAATATTATAAACTAACTACCCCAACAGGCATCTATAAAAAACCTTCTAACAACAGTAGAATAATTATTCTTCTCAAGTGCCCATAGGATGGGCCACATGCTAGTTAAGCCACAAAGTAAATCTCAGAAACTTAAAAAAAAAATTTTTTTAATGTTTTTATTTATTTTTTTGAGACAGAGAGAGACAGAGTACGAGTGGGGGGGGGGGGCGGGGGGAAGAGAGGGAGACACAGAATTCGAAGCAGGCTCCAGGCTCCGAGCTGTCAGCCCAGAGCCCGACGCAGGGCTCGAACCCACAGACTGTGAGATCATGACCTGAGCTGAGGTCAGACGCTTAACTGACTGAGCCACCCAGGCGCCCCTAATCTCAGAAATTTTAAAAGGACTCAAATAATACTAGGTATACTCTCTAAATGCAACAGAATGAAATTAGAAATTAATAAAAGAAAAAAATGGAACACTCACAGTTATGAGGAAATCAAACAACACACTCCTAAATAAGGATTAAAGACATAATCAAAAGGCAAATACTTTGAGATGAATAAACAAACAACATACCAAAAATGATGGGATGCAGCAAAAGCAGTAGGCTAAAAGTAAATTTATAGCTGTAAATGCCTATATTGAAAAGAAAGAAAAATCTCAAATCAATAACCTGCACTTATAATGATGACACTGAAAAAAGAACAGCAAACTAAACACAAAGCAAGCAGAAAAAAGGAAATAATAAATACTAGAATGGAAATAAATAAAATAGGCGATAGAAGAATAAAAATCAATGAAATCAAAGTGGTTCTTTGAAAATATTAACAAAATTGACAAAACTTTAGTGACAGTGACCAAGAAAACAAGTGAGAAGACTCAAATTACTAACATCAACAATGAAAATTAGTACACTACTACTGACCACACTGAAATAAAAGGGATTATAAGAGAAACTATCAATAATTCTGTGCTAATAAATAACAAAAAATGGACAAATTTCTAACAAAATAAAACTACCAAAAATGATTCAAGAAGAAATAGACAATTTGAAAAAACCTGTAAGAGACTGAATTAACACTCCAAACACTATGTACATAGAAAGAAAAAAAAATCCAGGTACAGATGGCTTCATTGCTGATTACTATCAAGCATTTAAAGAGAATTTAATACTAATATTTTGGATTACCAATATTCTAAAAATAGAAAAAGAGAAATATTTTTTGTGAGATCAGTATAACCTTAATACCAAACCAGACAAAAGACAACACAAGAAAACTAAAGACCAATATCTTTAATAAATATGGATGCAAAAATCCTCAAAAACATATTAGAAAACCAAATCCAGCAACATATAAAAAGAATTATATACCATAACAAAGTGGGATTTATCTGCTTTTCCAGGAATGCAAGGTTGGTTTAATATCCAAAGATCAATTAATGTTCTACACCATTATCAAGAGAATACAAAACAAAAACCATATGATCATCACAACCGATGTGGAAAGAGCATTTAACAAAATCCAATACCCTTTCATGATAAAGACACTCAAGAAACTAGGAAAAGAACTTGCTGAGCCTAATATAGGGCATCTAAGAAAAAACCTATAGCTAACATTGTACTTAACAGTGGAAGCCTAAATTTTTTCTAAGAAACATAGTCTCATCTTAGGGAAAAAACAGAAGTGTGATCTCACTGTTTTATTTCAATACTGCACTGGTGTTAGCCAGTGCAGCTACACAAAAAGAAATGAAAAGCATTCACAATGGAAAGAAAGAAGTAAAACTGAATGTTTTTATTCTTTATTCATAGCCAACTTGATCATCTATGTAGAAAATCCAATGACTTCTACAAAAATTTACAGGAAGTAGTGAGTTTAGCAAGATTATAAAATAACATCTCAATATACAAAAATCAATTGAATTTCTACCTATGAGCAATAAACAACCAAAAATTGACATTTAAAAAATATCATATATATTACTATCAAAAGCATGAAATACTTAGGGATAAATCTGGTAAAAGATATGAAAGACCTGTATACTGACTCCTACAACTGCTGGGAAAAATCAGAAAACGTCTAAATTAACAGAGAGCTATATCATGTTCATGATTTGGACAACTCAATATTGCTGAGATGTCATCTGTCCCAAAATTCATCTACAGATTTAGCTCAATACCAGTATAAATGACAGCATCCCCTTTTTTTAAAAAAAAAAGAAGCTGACAAACTCACTCTAAAATTCATATGGGATTGCAAAAGACCTAGAATAGCCAAAACACTTTACAAAAAGGAAGAACAAAACTGGAGGACTAACACTACCTGGTTTTAACCCTTATTACAGAGCTGCACTAATCAAGACAGTATTCATAGTAAGATAGACAAATAGGTAAACAGAACAGGGAGTCCAGAAATAGGCACATATATGGACAAATGATTTTCTACAAAGGTGCAAAGACAATTCAATAGAGGGCAATTTTTTCAACACATGCAGCTGGAAGAATTGAATACCCATATTCAAAACTATGAACTGGGATCTTGCTCTGTACTACATAAAGAAACTAATGGATCACAGACCTAAATTCTGGGAGAAAATCTTTGTGACCTTGGGTTAGACAAAGACTTCTTAGATATGATACTAAAAACATAATTAGTCAAAGAGCAAATTGCTAAGTTGGACTACATCAAAATTTTAAACTTCTGTTCTTTATGACACAAGTTTGAGAGAATGAAAAGGCAAAACTATATTAGGAGAAAATATTTTTGCAAAGTATGTATTGGATAAAGGACTTATATCCAAAATGTATCCAATAAGAGAATGAGCAGCCAATAAAAAAACAGGCAAATATGTGAAAAGGAACTTCACCGAAGAATAAGTATGGATGGCAAAGAGCACACGAAAAGATGCTCAACATAACTAACCATTATGAAATGCAAAATAAAACCACAATAATAAACTACTATACATATATACATATTATATACATACATCTACATTATATGTTAGTATGGCTAAAATTAACAGACAGATCATACTAAATGCTAGCTAAGTAAGAATATGGAGGAGCCACAATACTCATCACAGCTGGTGGGAATGTAAAATGTTACTAACAACTTTGGCAGTTTTTTTAAAAGTTAAATATATACTTACCATATTTAATCCAGTCACTCCACTCCTAGGTATTTACCCAAGAAAAGCAAAAGCCTGTGTCATACTGAAATTTGTACACCAATATCCATAGTAGCTTATATGCGATAGTCAACAACTGGAAACAACCTAAATGTCTATCACAGATGAAATGACAAATTGTAGTACATACATACACACTCTAATGAGGATGACTCTCAAGTAATTATGTTCAGAGAAAGAGGCCAGACAAAAATGAACACATATGGTGTAATTCTACTTTTACAGAATTCTTAGAAGTGCAAACAAAAGTATAAGGACAGAATGCAGATCAGTAATTATCTGGAGTTCAGCATGGGAAGGAAGAAGTATGAAGGAGGTATACAAAATTGCAAAAAGAAACTTGTGGGGGTGATGGATATGTTCATTACCTGTTTGTGGTTATGGTTTCACAGATATATACATACATCAAAATCTGTCAAAATGCTTAATTTAAATACATATAGTATGTATTTACTATGTAAATACATATGTAAAAACATATGTAATTTAAATACATATGTTAATTATATCTCAATAAAGCTGTTAAGAAATAGCTGAAATATGAAAAGTTATATTAAAATTTTATTATAGCTGCTCCAGAGAAGTAGCCACACCTGCAAAAATTTGAGTTAATGTAATTAATTTACTAACTAAAATCTGAGTTTCTCTGGCTAATCTGATGTAGGTACTACTTAGCAGTAACTGGTTGACAGGCAAGCAAACAGGAACATCAAGAGACCTGAGATCAAGCCACTAATTTGGTCTTTAAACTACAATGAAATTTTGAAATTAATTTTTTTGCTCCTAACTTATAAGTAAAGTTTTTTTAACTAGGAAAAGCCTTATTAACCAGCAATGGAAGGACTAGAAACAGTGGTCATTCAGATTAAATTCCAGTCAGCCTGGACCAATTTCTATTGAACTGGTGGTCCCTTAGCAAAGAAACATTCCAGGATTCTTAAAATCACTGCCATTCTGAATTCCTCTTTCAAAAAGTCAAAGTAGGGAAAGGGGACAGGATGCCTGTTTTGTAGGCATTTTCTAGGAGAACAATTTTTTCCTCTTCTATTTATTAAAAAATTTTTAAATGTTTATTTTTGAAAGAGAGAGACACAGAGTGTGAGTAGGGGAGGGGCAGACAGAGAGGGAGACACAATCTGAAGCAGGCTCCAGGCTCTGAGCGGTCAGTACAGAGCCCAACGAAGGGCTCGAACTCACTAGCTGTGAGATCATGACCTGACCTAAAGTCGGACGCCTAACCAACTGAGCCACCCAGGTACCCTTTCTTCTTCGATTTTTATGCATATGTGATATTGTTTTCATTGAGTCAGATTTATCCAAATTCCAAGTCACTTCTTATTTCTAAATTGAACTTCTATAGAAGATGAATTTATATCTATCCTTTATCTGGGTAAGCTTCAGCAGTGCACAGTAATTCCTAAAACTGTGGAACCAAAGATAGCTCCCATTTATTATTTTTATGTTGTTCTTAAATTCTTCCAGGGCCAATATAATTGACTAACTCTGGCCTGAGAGCCCAAAGGTGCTAGTGACTAAAATGTATAGAGCAACCCAAAAGCATGATTTCACTAGCTAAGAATACGTTTTTGTCCCTTCATTCAAGAAGCCCAGCCAAACCCTACATCCATAATCAGAGCTAAATGCCTACACTTTATGAAAGAAACATTTATTTGCTTATTTAAAAAATTACATGATTTTAGAGAAAAAAAAGGATACCTGTGTTTTGAATTCCAGAATGTTATTTCCTGGATTAATTCTTCCTAGTAATATCAGATCTTTTATCTGCATACATTTCTTTCTGGGAGCTGTGCTATTGTTTAAAGGGTTTTTTATAATATGTTGACGGCCAGATCCCGAGGAATAGGAGCTCTCACCATCATGAGCATGGGGAACAGCAAAAACTGATTTTTTAAGATCAGATTTCATCTGATGCCCAGTAGTACTGCCTAAGGCATCAGTCCCTTGGTGTGCCAAGGATTCTAATGTCCCCCTAGGTGGCTGCTGGGAAGCTATTTTCCTGTTTCCTCTTTTCAGATCACAATTGGTAGGAGCCTGATTGCAAATAACAGTTGATAGATGGGCATCATTTTCGGCAAGTCTGCTTGTAGTCTCTGAAATATTTAATGTGCCAGTTACTGCTGAAGGACTACTGTAAGATTCATTCCCTTTGGCTGGAGTTTCTGTAAGATCATTTTCTTTTTGTGAATATTCTGCTTGAGCAAGAAAAGCAACAGGCTGGGGTGGTAATTTAATCTTCTTAGTGCCATCTGAATGTCTGGATTTTGATAACCCATCCAAGGTACAGTCATTGACATTCTGTTTAGAATTCAGCTCATTTCCAAAAAATTCTTCCCTTCTCACTGTCTCTGAATCTACACAAGTGTTGGTATTTTGGCTGCCATTCCACGTTTCCAGAGATGACTGTGTTTCCTGTATGCTTCCACAAATAAGGCTGACAGGAGAACATGAACCTGAATGGGGCTGCACTGGATTTCCCAGACTGGTAAGCCTTTGGCTGTACTTTTCACTAGAGATTTCTGAGCTGGATGGCAGCCTCTTCAAACCAGGACCAGACGCAGATGTAATGTTTGTATAGTTTTGAATTTTCTGGCTAATTTTTTTCTGTTTTTTTGCCACAACTAAAAGGCTCTTCTGTCTTGTGGCCAAATTAGCCAGTTGTTCTCTGAGGACTCCTTGCTTAAATGATTCTATGGACACTCTAGAGAAAGAAACAGAAAGAGAAAAAAAAACCAAAAACAACAGAAAACTTTTTTTAGCAATCATGTAGATTTTAAAGATACTTTGTCTCAATTTAAATTTTAATCAGCCCAAAGTACACAAGTATTTCCTCTGAAAGGAAAATGACTCCTAAGGTAAGTAAGACTGCCTTTTTCTGGAGGTGATGGTGTGGTTATCCACATTTATATTATTTACCAGTTGTGAGTCAACCCTGAAAAAAAACAAATATGGACTGTTTGGTTGGAAGGAGGAACACCATTTTTAAATTCGGAGTTTGCTTACCTGTTTATAGTGGAAAGGTGTATCGGGAAATAAAATTTGGGAGTAAGTTCCACTCAAGTTCCCTTAGAGCTATGGAGGAGTGAGACTGTTTTGAATAATTATATCTGAGCTGGACCTGAGAAATGTCAATCCATCAAGTAATTACTATAATTGTACTTTGAACCTGTATTGAGGCACTTTTGGGTCCAGAGGGACTACCAGGACAAGCATTAACCTGTGTGACCACAATGGGCTTGAGAGCGAGAGAAAATGGCTGCTTCACACCCTTCTTTTGGTTATACCCATCTACACTACAGTGCCCTTCAGGATACTGGACTCTTTGTTTCCAGTAGTTCTCAAACTTTTTGGCTTTACGACTGTTTTATACTCTTAAAAATTATAGAGGACCTCAAAGGGCCTTTTTTCATATGGGTCTATCTATCAATATTTACTGTTCTACAAAATAAAACAGAAAATTTTAAAACACAAGAATATACAAAGATACATCCCATCGGCTATTAGAATAATGATAGCACCACACATGTGGCCTCTAGAAAATTCCATTATACACTCATGAGAGAATGAGAGCCAAAAAGTTTCATTATAGAAACAGTTGTGACTTCATACACCCTTTGAAATGGTCTCAGTGACCTTCAGGGATCACCCTAAAGCAGCTGCTTTAAGGGATAGCAATAGTATCACAGTTTAGGGTTGTTGGTACTGAACTTCAAGCAGACCAGATGTTAGAGTGAATAGTAGACGTAGGTGGAAGAAGCAGTAAGAAGAAATATTAGCAAACAGCTAGTAGCATAAAATACAAGAAGCTGAACAGAGGAGAAAAAATTAGTAATATCACATTTAAAACAGAGTTCAGACAAAAAATAAAAACGGTTTTAAGATTACAAGATTTTAAGTCTTACAACAGTATTAATAAGGACTTACACACCTACAAACCCAACTGCTTGGGAACTTCCCAAAACTCCAGGTATATTGTTAATCATAGAACATAAAGGAAAACTGAAGCTAGTCTTCTCCAAAGTTTACCTTCTCCAAAGGTAACTGACCTACCTGTAGGTCCTATAAGCTCACTTGCTTTATACTAACAGGAAAACAGAAAAGAGAAATAATCTGTAATATTTATTCACTGGGGAGAAAAGCAAAATGAAGATAAAATATTTGTGAATGAAAATAGAAAACTGATTTTTAAATAAGTTCAGAAAAAAATGTCAAATGATTATGAGAATATAAAGAAAATTAGAGGGGTGCAGGTGGCTCAGTCATTTAAGCACCCGACTTTTGATTTTGTCTCAGGTCATGATCTCGCGGTTTGTAAGATCGAGCCCTGCATCAGCGTGGAGCCTGCTTGGGATTCTCGCTCCCTCTTTCTGCCCCTCCCCCACTGGTACACACGCACAGCACTCACACTCTGTCTCTTAAAAATAAACAAACTTTAAACAAAAGAATATAAAGGAAATTAGAAAATAACAGGTGAATAAGGAACAAGATCAAAAAGATAACTGCAACCCCATATTCACTGCAGCATTATTAACAATAGCCAAGACATGGAAGCAACCTATGTGTCCATCAAAGGCTGAATAAAGAAGATGTGGAATGTGCAAATGTACACACACACACACACACACACACACACACACACACACACACAGAGGAATATTATTCAGACATTAAAAAGAAAGAAATCCTGTCATTTTTGACAACATGCATAGACCTTGAGAGCATTATGTTAAGTGAAATAAGTCAGACAGAGAAAAACAAATACTGTATGGTCTCACTCATATGTATAATCTAAAAAAACAAAAAACTACAAAACACAAAAAAATGAACTCATATATACAGAGAACAGATTGGTGGTTGCCAGAGGTGGAAGGTGGAGGGTGGGTGAAATGGCTCACCCATTTTGACCCCAGGTCAAAAGGTACAAACATCCAGTAATAAAATAGGTCAGTCATGGAGGTGTAATGTATAGCATGGTGACTATAGTTAATAATACTGTATTGTATATTTGAAAGTTCTAAGAGAGTAAACCTTAAAAGTTCTCATGAGAAAAAAAAAAAAAGAAGGCATAGGTAGCTAAGTCTATGTATGAAAAACTAATAAAAATATGCCCAAACAAGAAAACAATATATCTTTCTCAAAAAAGGGAAAAGAAGAGGATATAATATAATCAGGATAAAACCCCTTAAAAGCCCTGAGAGTTTAAGACATACACAAAACCACAAAAAAACACATGGTTACACCACTTAGATAACATTTATGATAGCAAAAAGAAAAAATTTTAGTGTAAAAAATCTGAGTTTACTATGGAAAGAAATTTATTTTGGGGATTCATGACCAGAGAGGCTGTCATAAAATTCTTGGCTATGGACAACTTTTTAAGATACTAAAATGTCCTCTTCTGAATATTCAAGTAATAAAAAAGAAAAATATCTTTCTGGGAAGTACAATTCCCCATGAAGGTAATAGATTAGATGACCTCATGGTCATTCTTTGGCCCTAAGCAACAATTGTATTCTTAAAAAATTCCAGACCTAACTATTGTAGCTAAAAAGGGATAAATTATGAAAATTCTAAAGCAGTTCTACTTTTTTCACTCACCTGTATTTTTTAGCCAGATCATCCCTTTCTGCCTTCTGTTTGGCAAGCACATTATCCATAACCTCTTTTATCTCTAACATCTTTTCAATGTATTGTTCTGGAAGCATGGTAATAAAATAAAAAGTTAACTGAGAGATAGCAATTGTTACATTTGATCACAGAGGACTCAGCCTTACTGTTAAATTTTAAAAAATTTATTTCCCTACGCTGCTCCCCAGTATCAATGGCCCAGATATATAAACCAAGACTCATTGAATTATGCCACCCTATGGAAGTACCCTGAAGAGGGCAGGCCAGCTTGAGTTCTAATCCCACTACTCCACTAAGTTCTGTGACTCTGAACAAGACGTATGACCCCTTTGGTTACTTTTCTTATTTGTGAAATGAGGGTAGGAAATAAATATTTTGTTAAACTTACTTACTTTTTAAAACACAAAAGGAACACATTGTAAGAAAAATTTTCAAATAATATGAATGTTTACACAGAAGAAAAGTAAAAAAGAGTATCCCACTTTCACCCCTGTTTCTCCTCTTTTTTACTCCACAAAAGAGACTACTGTTAATACTTTGGGAGGGCACTTGTTGGGATGAACACTGGGTGTTGTATGGAAACCAATTTGACAATAAATTATATTTAAAAAAAAAAGAATAAAGAAAAGATCTATTCTTGATTTGAAAAAAAAATACTTTGGTAGCAGGGTACCTGTTTGTGTGTGTCAATTTTTTTTTAAATTGTGTATTTATTTAATGTATTGTTCTATATATTTATACTATATGTAACTATTTATTATATTTACCTAACAATAAGAATCATGCCATCAGTTCTTGTTCTTTACACTTAGCATTTAGATAGGGCTATATGATATCTAAGTTCACATAGATCTATATATAATTATTTTTATAATAATTACTTAAAATTTTCCTATTTTCTTCCACTGCTTCCTAAGTAACAGCATCATGCTCTGCCCCATCCATCACAAGTCCACAAGATTGACACACAAATGCCAATTATGTCCAAGTCCACATTCCCAAGTAGTAAATGGAAAGGCTTAGATGAATACATTTTCTTTTAAATGACTTTTTTAAATTTAATTTAATTTAATTTAATTTGATTTAATTTGATTTGATTTTACTTTTGGCTTTGTTTCTTACATTTTTTCCCTAATTATTTTAGACCAATGCATGTTTTTCTAGATAACGTAGAGAAAATCAGTGGTGGGAAATGACATGAAGTTCAGAGTTGAAATTTTTTCCAGAACTTTCCTTTGCAAATCAGACAAATGACTTGATCAGTAAAGAGTCAGTGTTCGCAGAGTAGTTTCTGCCCATCACGCACTTGAATTTTAAATCACAGGTAAAAATAACATTATCATAGTAATCAAGAAAATTCTATGTATTTCTATAAAAAAGGATAGGAAGAATTTTACATGTAACTTGACACTATATACTTATTTATCAGATACATTAATCAGTGGTATCTTAGGGAGAACCTAGAATCGCTCTAATATATGTAAGATTTTAATATATGATAATAAAGAATGAGGAAGGCAGAAATTATTCAAAAGATAAGAGGAGGGAAACGGAACAGTTATGTGGGGGTGGGGGACTCTATTCTATCCTCATCTTGTGCCACGTGTGGAAAAGAGATTTCAAATGAAGAGCAGAGTTGAAATGCATAGGAAAAAACCAATATACAAAATGTTTAAAGTAAACATCTTTTTGGTCAGTTTGGTTGAGGCACTAAGGTTTCTGACATCAAAGTGAATACAAGACATCGATTAGAAAAACCTACAGAAGGGGCACCTGGGTGGCTTAGTTGGTTAAGCGTCCGACTTTGGCTCAGGTCATGGTCTCATGGTTTGTGAGTTTGAGCCCCGCATCGGGCTCTGTGCTGACAGCTTGGAGCCTGGAGCCTACTTCAGATTCTGTGTCTCCCCCTCTTTCTACCCCTCCCCTGCTCACACTCTGTGTCTCTCTGTCTCTCAATAATAAATAAGTATTAAAAAAAAAATTAAAAGAAAAAAGAAAAGAAAAACCTACAGAAAAATGTACAAAATGGGATCTGTTATTCCTGGACTCCTCAGCCAAATCACAGATATAAAAGGTGTCAGAATAAGGAAGTGGTGCATTTGTAAAGACACTTCTTCAGAGAGCTATTGCTCAACTGGATGAGAATCTCCATTCTCAACAGCCAGACTGAGAGGTGAGGTTTCTCTCTGTCTCAAGCCTAAGGAGGGCAGTTTCTCAAAGAACTGTTGAAGAGAGTAATAACTTTCTTTTGAGGTGATAATGGACTCACACCTGGCTTCCTCCTTTGAAATCTAGAGGTTGAGGCCCTGCAGGGCACGACATGTGGACACCAGGGAAAAGGGAGAGTTGCTCTTGTGCTGAAAGTTAACTGTCCTCCTTTCTAACCACAGGTCCAAAGTGCCAGGATCCTGAAGACTTGGTATGGAGCCTGCCCTGTGCCTGTGAGACTGACTATGGAGACTTCTACCTGAGAGAGAGTCTGTGTAGGTGGACCACCAAAAAACAAAACAAAACAAAACAACAACAACAAAACCAACAAAAAAACAGCAGCAGCAGCAGCAGCTGACGGAAGACAAAGAGGAGCCAGGGAAAGGAAAATGTGCACTGCCCTGCCACACCACAGGAGCCATGTACAAGTTCAGAAAAGCCTCAGAAAATTGCTCTGAAGAGACTAAGCTTTAGACATCCGCCAAAGACTGCTGCAGTCAGTAGCAGTCAGTATTTAGCCTAGTATTTAGGCTAGCAACTGCTAGCCAAGAACTCTAGAGTCCCGTTGCCATACCGTTCCTCCCTTAAAGGGGCAGTGGGATGAAGATAAAGGGGTCCTGACTAGTCAATGTATTGGTCATAAAAGAATAAAATTAATTTACAAAGCCTAGGGATGGGGAGGGAAGAAAAGTGTCTAATCTTAAAAGCATTAAAAGAAATAGCAAAGGAAAAAGGCTGATACGTTTTATTATACAGAATTTGAAAATGTATGTACTTAAGCATAAAAAGACAGTTAAGTGGCTGAAAAACATATTTGCAGCAGTTATGGCAGAAAAAGAGTCAATAACTTGATTGTATAAAATGGCTCCAACTTATTAACAGAGAAACAGGAACAGTCAATTCACAAAGCAGGAAAAAAAACTAGAGAAAAAATACCATTAATAATAAGGTAAGTGAAAATATGAGGCACATTTTTCTCATTAAACTGGTAAAATTAATTTAAATGAAAATACTGTTGCTATTAGCAGTGTAAAGGAAAACAAACACTAATGTGTGTTGGGGAAAGTGCAAATTAAATTAATATCTAATACTTTATGAAATAATTTATCAATACAAATTAATAGATTTTAAAATGTTTATAAATTTTTGAGCCAGTAGTTCCAAATCATTCCTATGAAGACAGTCCTAAATTCAAAAGCTATATACTATAAAATAGCAAAGAAGGGGCGCCTGGGCGGCGCAGTCGGTTAAGTGTCCGACTTCAGCCAGGTCACGATCTCGCGGTCCGTGAGTTCGAGCCCCGCGTCGGGCTCTGGGCTGATGGCTCAGAGCCTGGAGCCTGTTTCCGATTCTGTGTCTCCCTCTCTCTCTGCCCCTCCCCCGTTCATGCTCTGTCTCTCTCTGTCCCAAAAATAAATAAACGTTAAAAAAAAAAAAAAATTAAAAAAAAAATAGCAAAGAAGTAGAAAAATGTAAATGCTCAAGAAAAACGGAAAAATTAAGCCCTGGAACATTTACAAAATAGGATACTAGGTAAACCACTAAGAATAATGGCTCTAGAGAGAAAATGTAAAGTTGGCAAGTTTAGCATGATCTAAACTATGTTTTTAATAATTTTATTGAGGTGTCACTGCATAACCAAATTCTTAGAAGAAAGGAAACAAATACAACAAAATACTGTGGTGGGACAGTAGGTATTTTTAGCATTTTTTTCCTGGTTTTTTGAAGTGTATTTATATGCCTTTTAATAAAAAATTTTTAATTGAAGGGGTGCCTGGGTGGCTCAATCGGTTAAGTGGCCGACTTCGGCTCAGGTCACGATCTCGCAGTCCGTGAGTTCGAGCCCCGCGTCGGGCTCTGTGCGGACAGCTCAGAGCCTGGAGCCTGTTTCAGATTCTGTGTCTCCCTCTCTCTGACCCTCCCCCCATTCATGCTCTGTCGCTCTCTGTCTCAAAAATAAATAAACATTAAAAAAAAAAAATTTTTTTAATTGAAAAAAAATTTTTTTAATTGGAAAATTCATCTTATGTATATAAGGTATTATAAATACTAAATAAAATATATGAACTATTCACATTTGTTTGGGAGTATACATTACAGTATTTTGTATTATTTTCCTCAAAACATAACATGTTTACCATGTGTTAGGCCAAGATGAAAGAATGGGTATAATTTAAAAGGAAATAATTTTTTAAAAGACTGTACAGTATGAACTAGGATAAGAGATGAATAGCTGTATCCTATTACATTAAAGATTGAGGAGGGGCGCCTGGGTGGCGCAGTCGGTTGAGCGTCCGACTTCAGCTCAGGTCACGATCTCGTAGTCCGTGAGTTCGAGCCCCGCGTCAGGCTCTGGGCTGATGGCTCGGAGCCTGGAGCCTCTTTCCGATTCTGTGTCTCCCTCTCTCTCTGCCCCTCCCCCGTTCATGCTCTGTCTCTCTCTGTCCCAAAAAAAAAAAAAAAAAAAAATTGAAAAAAAAAGAAAAAAAAATTTTAAAAAAAAGATTGAGGAGATACTTTTAACTACTTAAACATTCAGATCTAAATCTATCAAGACCCAATTTTTACCTTGTAATCGTTAACTCATGAAAACACAACTGTGAGCTATCAAAGATTTACAAATATTCAGTGAACTTTTGAGAAATTCCGATTAGTAGGTCAGGGATCAAAGTCAAATTTACTATTTTGAATCACTTGTGTTTTGTAAACAGGAAGACATCTATGCTAAGATACTTACCTGGTATATCTGCTCATCTGAAAGGTCTGAGGATTTGCCCTACTTGAGTCACAACTGCATATTCCTCTGCAGATCTGTTTTTAAAGGGCTACCATAGCTGCAGGGAATAACATAATCTCCTCCCTAGTCACTATATTGTGCTTTCTTTTTTTCTTCACATCTTCATCTAAACATATCACCAGTAGTGGCTTATCTCTGATCATTGTTTCAAGTGTCTCTCATGTTACTTATGCTATACTTTGAGTCTTAGAAGTATCTTGATCAACAAGTACACTAACTACTGGTTTGCATAAATGACTTCTGATGCTCATTTCTGGCACTTTACCATCACAAAAAAAAGGCTACTTTCAGCCACTGTAAGCTTTGACATAAACATGTACCGTAAGAAGTTGAGGTAGGAATGACCTTGGATGTACGAAATAATCAAACTTGAGTATGGGTGCATACTTACCTGCATCTTCAGGGGTTCTTATTTCAAATTCTAGTAAACTTTCTTGTTTTTCTTCTATGTCTTGTAGAATGGCACTGATGGTATGATGCTATCAGATAAAAATATTAAAAACTTCATTACAAGAAGGTAGGTATTTCTCTCTGATATGCAATTGTCAAATGCACAGTAAAAGTGCTAAAGAAAGTGCTGCTACAAAGCTTATTTTGCTTTATGTTCAAAATGTGTTCATGCTTTGTTTACCTGTATAAATGTTGCATACTTGAGGGGAAAAGTAAACTTAAATGTTTTGATTTATGTAGCAGATCTACTCCTGGCAAAAAGACTGTAAGAGTAGCAACCGTATAAAGAATCACAATTTCTCACTGACTTGTTACAATCATAGCTGTAGGTGAAACAAGAACAACTGAGAGCACATGATATTTAAAGACCACATATATGCAACAAGTTTACTTTAAGGCTCTGTGACTATCACTGCACACTATTAAAATTCTCACACATAATCTTAAAATACAAAACACTACTCTCTCAAAAATTCACAAACGGGATTTAGGCCCCCTCCCCACGCCCTTGTCAGTAGTGACTGTCTTGCCTGGAATGCCTTCAGTTAACTTTGCCCAGATCCACCTCTTTCCTATGAGAGATGTAATCATGGAGTCGATTCTGGAACTAGGCTGCCTGGGTGTGCTCTGGCTTCACTTCTTCCTAGCTGGGGGGCTCTAGCAAGTTACTTGTCCTCTCCTTGCCTGAACAGACTAACACATGTAAAATGCTTAGGACAGGGCCATTGCAAAGTAAGAATTCAATAAATACTGCTTATTATATAAAACCCATCTCATACATGAAACCTCTGACAAATCTAATTCATACTGATTTCTCCTTTCTCAGAATTACTTAAGAACTGCAGTGCTACAAAACTTAGCGTTAATATATATAATATCTTACATATTATAGTTCTCCCTCAAAATAATAAGATCTATAGGCAGGAGCATAGCTTTTATATTTGTGAATGATTTCCAAACTGTTGGATATATAGCTGGTGCTCAATAAATGAAAACTGATGGACTGACTCATATTATCTATTCTTTAATATATTCTCAATATACATTCATTTAAAAAATGTGTCAGTCCTCAAAGCCTTCTGAAGTATACTGCCCTGAAATTCTACTTTGGTGCCTACAAGGGACATGAAAAATGCACATAATAAACGCATCCAATTATGTGGAAAAGCAATCTCACTGCTGTCATTTATGAAATGCATCAAAGCAGAACTATAAAATATAAATATGCAAAACAAACAAACGAGATTTATCTCTTTTTATACCAAATGGCTATAAAAGCAAACTAAAGGTCTGAACTGGCTACGCCTCTACCTACAGGTCAGGATAAAGAAAACACTTTCTGGAGGTGATTTTCCTTTCTCTTTTGCTCATATTGTGGATGCACTCAGTCTTGGCCACTATGGGCAATAACCTTTAACTCCACACAAGCTACACCTTCCACCATGGAGGGTCCAGCATAACCTTCCCCCCCAAGAACCTCTTCTTTAGTCCTTCATTACTTGTTGTTTACCTTAAAAAAAAAAAAAGCACAACAAAAAACCCAACCTAGGATCTGTCTTTGGAATAAGCAGCTTTACATAGTTTATATTGTGCTTACTAAAAGCTTCACGAAAATTTCACTCCAATTTCCTATTTTTACTGTGGTAGGACCATCTTTGTCTCTGACACCTTTACAATTCTGTACAATATGGCACAGTGGTTAGAAGCACAGGCTCTGTAGCCAGACTGCCTGGCATTGCTTTAGTTCTGGTACTGCTACTTAACAGAAATGTATTTGGGGAGAGTCTGTCATATAATAAGTACTCAGTGAATACCAACTATTAGTATTGTTATCACTTCTGTACTTCGTCTACACGGGTATAGAGGAGGCTGCCTACATGTTTTGATTTGATGGTGTTACAAGGTAGCACCAAACTAAAATCATCTCATTTCCTTTCTATCTGGCCATAGGGTCACCCCATCCCCAATGTGATTTGAAGTTTCCAACACTTAAAAGTTCACATTTACAAAAGATTCTTAATGACTTTAAAGTCCTTATATTTCTTTTGAGTTTTTCTTTCTTTTTTTTTTTTTTTTTTTTTTTTTTTTTTTGACTGGGAAATTCAGTTAGTTTTTTTTTTAATTTAATTTTTAATTTTTTAAATTTGTATCCAAATTAGTTAGCATATAGTGCAACAATGATTTCAGGAGTAGATTCCTTAATGCCCTTTACCCATTTACTCCATCCCTGTCCCACAACCCCTCCAGTAACCCTGTTTGTTCTCTGTATTTAAGAGTCTCTTCTGTTTTGTCCCCCTCCCTGTTTTTATATTATTTTTGTTTCCCTTCCCTTATGTTCATCTGTTTTGTCTCTTAAAGTCCTCATATGAGTGAAGTCATATGATGTTTGTCTTTCTCTGACTAATTTCACTTAGCATAATACCCTCCAGTTCCATCCACGTATGTGCACATGGCAAGATTTCATTCTTTTTGATTGCCAAGTAATACTCCATTGTATATATATACACCACATCTTCTTTATCCATTCATCCATTGATGGACATTTGGGCCTTTCCATACTTTGGTTATTGTTGCTAGTGCTACTATAAACATGGGGGTGCATGTGTCCCTTTGAAACCGCACACCCGTATCCCTTGGAAAATGCCTAGTAGTGCTATTGCTGGGTCCTACGGTAGTTCTCTTTTTAGTTTTTTGAGGAACCTCCATACTGTTTTCCAGAGTGGCTGCGCCAGCTTGCATTACCACCAAGAATGCAAAGAGATCACTATCGCATCGCCAACATCTGTTAGCCATGGGTTAGTTAATGTTAGCCATTATGACAGGTGAGGTGGTATCTCATTGTGGTTTTGATTTGTATTTCCCTGATGATGAGTGATGTTGAGCATTACATTCAACAAAAACGGACCATCAACAAGGCACATCATAGTCAAATTCACAAAATACTCAGGAAAGGAGAGAATCATGAAAGCAGCAAGGTAAAAAAAAGTCCCTAACATACAAGGGAAGACAGATCAGGTTTGCAGCAGAGTTTTTCTTTTTTAAAGTTGGTTTTCTTTTTAGGGGCACCTGGGTGACTCAGTCAGTTGAGCATCCAACTTTGGCTCAGGTCATGATCTCAGAGTCTGTGGGTTCGAGCCCTGCATGGGGCTCTGTGCTGACAGCTCAGAGCCTGGAGTCTGCTTCCGACTCTGCATCTCTCTCTCTCTCTGCCCCTCCCCTGCTCACGCTCTGTCTCTCTCTGTCTCAAAAATAAATAAAAACATTAAAAAAAAAAAAAAAGAAAAAGAAAATCAGAGACTCAAGCCTATACTACACATGTGTGTAAGAACTAAATTTATATAATTTGTGTGGTTCAGGAACTCAAACTGAGAAATGAGCATAAAAACTTGTGTGAAGCTGATAAACTTCTAAGGGCCCCAGAAGAGGCAAATGTTAAACACGAAGCCTAGGCACACCAAAATTCCCATAGTAATCGGTCCTCAATGAAATGAAATCATAACAAAAAATTAAAAACCACATAAAGAATCATGTTATCATGTGAGACTCAGGAAGAGACCTTAAAATTCCTTTTAGTTTTATTTTGTTCTTTCTTTAAAACAAAAATTCGAAAAGCAAAGAATTTCTAGAAATAAAAAAGAGTCATTTAAATTAAAGTTTCAACATATAAGTTAAAGAGAGTAGAAATATGGGTTAAATAGAGGAGAAATATTTGATGAGAGAAATAATGAAGCAGGAGGTCAAAGGATAGCACACAGAATATAGTGTGGAAAGTTAAAGAGATGGAAAATATGAAAAAGATACTAGAAGATATTAAGACTAGTCTAACCAACATCTAAACAGAAGTTCAAAAAAAAAAAGAAAAAAGAAAATTACTGAGATGGAGGAGAGGCAATTTTCAAAGGTATAAAGACTGAAAGTTTCTGGAATACAAATGAGAAATGTGCTTTCACATTAAAGGAGTATTTCTAGGCCTGAGTTTAATTAATAAAATGCTCCACATTTAGACACAACTTAGTGAAACTGGAGAACATAAAAGCTACAAGATTATCTATAAGGGAGTGACAATTAAATTGACAGGTGACTTTCTGTCCATTATTAACAGATACCAGGAACCAATGTAAATCATTTTCAAAGTGCTAAGGCAAATGCAATTTAGTTTTAATACAACTTAAAATATTTATGCTATAAATTAGTTGATTAACAGTAGTTGAAGTTCAAAGAATAATACTGTCTTCTCTACAATGACTAACAGAAAGCATATAAGAGAAGTCTAACTTCTCTTCAAAATAGTATTTCATTGAGGATGCTATTTCACTTAAGAAGTTAGTTTCTAGTAAGCTTTGTGTTCTTATCATGTTACACGAATCTTATCAATTAACATATTTTTTATTGAGGAAATACTATGTTATTTTTGTAAAAATATATTTTTATATGAGGAGTTTCAGATACAGCAAACACTACCACTATAAACCATGCGATATCCAGATTGGCTAACCCAGGTTGCTTTCCTCTTTTCTGTCTGGAGTCCAGGGTCTTTTTTACCCACTATGAATCCTCGACATTTTTTGGGAGTGGATGGGTGAAGACACACTATGATAGTGGCAGGGTCCATGGGACTAGAAGTAGCTAAAGAACCTAACCTAGGTGTAAACAATAGCAGCTAATCCATATTCTGTATTCAGTGCAGATAAGTGAGTTAACTATACAACATATTTTCTTGGCTCATTTTGTTCAATTAGCTATCTTATTTTCTTGTGACAAAAAATATTTTCAACCTGTGCATTCTTAAAATGGAAAGAGTACTGCCAACAGTTAATGACTGACTAGCCCAAAGAAAGGCATTTTCTAAGCTGAAAATTTAAGGGATTTCAACTTCACTCACCACAGGATGGCTTTCTCTTGTTTTTTCTCTGTGTGAAACAAAAGGTGGATCAACACTTTTGCAGTCATCACTAAAACACTGTTTATGTCTTTTTGGTCGGGCAGCAGGAATTTTGACTTTAAAAATTAAAATTAGAAAATATAATAAGAATGTGTAAAAATTTAGCTTCATTTTATCAATTTTAATGGTGACAGGAATGGAAAGAATAAATTAAGTCTACAATTACTAAAATATCTTAATTTGGGTCAGCATCTCATTGTTTATTCTCAATTGCTTAATTACAGCTAACATTTACTGAATACTTATCACACGCTAGATGTCAAACTCTTCGTGAGCCATCTTATTTAATCTTCATACAAGCCCTGTAAGACAGGTAGTTTATTCTATCCATTTTACAGAAGAGGAGAGTGAAGCTTAGAGGGATTGAGGAAGTTTTCTTAATGTCACATAGCTAGTATTGAAATCGGATCTGACTCCAAAATCCGTGCTCTTAAACCACTACGTCTATGATTCATTGTCTCTGATCCTTTCCCATTCTGGATTCCCTTTCTTCATATAACTATTGTTCCCCTATGTCCCTCATCCCTTTACGGTACCTGACCAAGGAAATGTACACACAAGAAACAACAGACAAGTGGGAACTGATACAGCATTTCATAACAGAGTGCCCAATAACTCCAAATACGGCTGTGGAGAGGGAGAGATACATGGCTAGGGCTCTAAGAAAGGCTCTGACCCTATATATTTACCATATGGTAGCAGGTAATGAAAAGAGGAAACCTTGTATCAGTGTTGACCTTGACCTACATGTGATCTAGCTCACTTGTAAAATATGAGACAATGATTATCCTTGGCTCTGACCAATCGTAACAGTAGTATGATTCCTCTCTTGAAAATCAACAATTGTTAAGGATAGTATAGGCTGGGAGAAATGTGACAGGGGTTCTTTTCCCAATCTTTCTGCCTCACTGGAAGAAAGGGCAGATATGTTCCTGGGTTTCTTGTATGAGTCAAGCAGGACAGAAAAGGAAGAACAATTCATTCTCCTCAACATTTAATAAATTGTGTTTAACTGTTTTATGTCTTCTGGTTGATCTCCACACAAGACTGGAACTTCCTCAAGCGCAAGTACATAGTTTGCATAGCAGGTGCTCAACAAATGTATGATATCTAAATTAGTGTTCACTGAATGCCTAATTCTTGTAGATAGTTCATTATATTATTTAAATGCAAACGATTTCTAAAAAATGGTTCATAAAATTTTGCCTGGCTGTACATTCCCTTGAAATATTCTTTACACTATATTCACACATACACATATGTATACATGTATATTTCCTTAACAAATTCATATTCTGGCATCAGAACATGAGATTCTTGAAAAGTTGGCATCAGTCCAACTTTCACATGTACCATTACAAATTTTGAAGTAATGGAATCTTACTTCCAAAGACTGAGTATAATGTCAACCTTTTTCAGCCCCTCTACAAGTAAGCCAATCTGTGTGGATTCAATTACATCTCTATCTCAGACCCAATGTTAGAGATTAATAATGGTTTAATGAATGATATGGGCTCCATTTCAACACATAATTCCAAACCAACAGGATCATATGGTATATAAATTAAACCAAATGTGGAAATGCTAATTTCTAAAAACAATGCTTTTCAAGAGTTTAATAAACATATAAAACATCTACCCCAGTCATGAAACAATTTACACTATAAATCTGAAGATTTTATTTTTCTAAGCAGAGGCATGCACTTGTATAAAAGAGCAGACAATACTTCCACACATACCAGTGACTGTGGCATTACTTTCATCTCTATTATCAGTCTCAACAGCATCATAAGATTTCAGCAGCTTTTTCGTTTTTTCATCATCTGCTTCATCCAAGGCAGTATTCTGCTTTTGATTCTTTTGATTTGGGTTTGCTCCATGTTGTAGTAGAATCTCAGCTGCCTAGAAGATATTTTCCCAAGGTTATCTCTATAGACACCTTTCTGCTTTCATTTTAAGACACCACCATTAAAAGTTATCAAAGTATAAAAAGCTATCAAAAAAGCTGGCAAACTCTGGTCAAGAAAATTTTTGATTAAATTTGATATGACAACTGTAAACTGATCCACTGATTTGGCCTGATCTGTCCTCACAGGAGAACCAAACATGATGACATGAAAGTACCAGATATGCAGCCTTCAGGGCAGTTAAGAAGCAAATATAGATAAAATGAGGTGCAAGATTTACTCTGTCTCGTTAACAGAGCTCTTTGTCTTCCTCCAACCTGCATTACTATATTTTAGGTATGTTACTTGTTTAAGAAATTTTATGAGCTAGCATGAGAATCCATAACCCTCCTAATAATGTCTATGCACGTCTATTATGCGTCCTAACTAACTTACATGTTAAAGGTAAAAGGCAACTTAGAATCTACTCCAACCCCATCATTTTAAGGAAGAGGAAACTGAGGTCAAAGAGCTTGTGACATTGGGTGGAGGGTGATTTCTAATATAAATGAATTTGTAAGTTTACAAAGTCATTTATATTAGAATATAAAGTTGAATAACTCAAAGTTGTTGCATATTAGAAATTAGTGAATGACCAAAGTTAAAGATGTTACTACTTAGTTTATAGTATAACTCAGTTAGTGAGCAATAGCCAATGAGTCCATCTGCGTGAGGAAAGTGATTCAAATCATTGAAAAACCTGATCAGGAAAAGATGGCCAGGATTTTGTTAAAAATAGAGACATACTATGTGTCAGTGGCTTTTCTCTTTCTCCTTATGTCCAGGTATGGAGAAGCAGAGATACTTAGGAGCAGATGGGCCAGTGAAGATGACAAGGACAGCCCCTCATTTGTTCCATCAGCCCAGGGTTAGCATAGCATAAAAGAAAACACATTTGCTCTCAAGTCAAGCATATAGAACTCACTCCTGCTACTTACTAACTGTCCTTGAAGAAGTTTATTTACCATTTGAACCTCATTTTTATCACCTTTGAGAACTAAATGTGAGCCCTTGTCAAATACCTTATACTAGTGGGTCTTTAATGAAAGCAGTCCCGTCTGAGTAAAGGCATTTTGTTTTGTTTTTACAAGAAGGGGTGAGCAGTACCTCAATCTAGTAGTTTCTAAGCCTGAGTGATCAGTAAAGTCACCTGTGGAATTATTTAAAAATACAGATTCCTTATACCCTTTTTCCACTACTACATGGGGGAGAGAGGAAGCTTGTTTTGTTTTGTTTTTTAACAAAGGAAGCTTTTCTAGAGTTAAAAATTATGCCATATAAATAATGACTCTTCTGTGTGTTAGGATGAGGCCTTCCTCTCAGGCCTTGACCTTTAATATATTAACATGGATTCATTTAATATATTAGTTCTGAGGAAACAGAGAACTCAGCTCATTGGAATGGGACCCTGAACAGCTATTTTTCAGTAATGCCTAAAAGAACAGCTACAGGGCCACAAGGCACTAAACAGGAATAGCTAACAGAGAGCTCCAGGCAATAAGATAGGGTGGACCTGAGGAACAAAGAGCTTGACAAAAATTAGGTGACCAAGAAGTAGGCCCCTTGCTTAACTTTTTTTTTAATCCGCTTTACTAGGGTAATCACGACGACAACCATGACTTAGAAACATTCCATCATCATAAAAAAATTTATTATGGCTCTCTGCAGTCAATCTTTTCCCACCTCCCTTTGGCCCTTGGCACTCAGCAATCTGGTTCAATCACTATAAATTTTCCCTTTTGTAGTATTTCATATGAATGGAATCATACAGTATACAGTCTTCTTTGTGTGTGGCTTAAGTTAGCATGATGTTTCTGAGAGTCATCCATATTGCTGTATCGATGGTTTCATCTGGCTACTTGCTAGCTGGTATGGGAACAGTGTTACAACAATGAATGGAAGTTACACCTATTCTGCCACGCAGACAGACGTGTTCAGGAACACCTGTAATGAAGATGTTTCTAAGAATGCTACTTGATAGGTATGATGAGAAGAGTGTCACTTCAGGGAATGGAAATTACATATCATTTGCAATGTATGTGGTATTAAAGGACACTTGTAGTAAAGATGTTTCTAAGAAAAAACAGTTTGTTCCTTTTAATGATGTAGCTGTGTATCCATCTATTTATTTATCAGTTGAGAGACATTTGGGTTCTTTCCAGTTTCTGGCTATTATGAATAAAGCCACTGTGAACATTTGAGTATATATCTTTATGTAAACAAAAGGTTCTTTTTTAAGATTTCTGTCTCTCTGTTGGACCTCTAGTTTTGTTCATGTATTACTTTCCCGATTTTACTGAGTTGTCTTGTAGACTGCTGGGCTTCTTTAATACCATTATTTTAAGTTCTTTGCCAGACAATTCATAGATTTCCATTTCTTTGGGGTCAGTTACTGGAAAATTATTGTGTTCCCTTCTTGGAGCCATGTTTTCCTGATTTGTTAACATTCCTTGAAGTCTTGCATTGCCATCTTCACATCTGAAGAGACAGTCACATCCTCTAATCTTCCCTACCCAGCTTTGAAAGAGACATCTTCACCAGTCAGTCCATCTCAGGATTCTGAGGCTTTCTTAGATTTTTTTCTATAGATGTATTTGCTGCACATTTCTTGTTTTCTCTTGGGGGGAGTTCTTAAAACTGTATGCCTTCTATTGATTCCATGAAGCCAGGCCAATTGGCTTTTGTTTGTTTTTCCAAGGGGGGTTCTCTAAAATGTCCCCTGAAATCCTACAGAATTGAACTTTCTGTGTTGGATTACTAGCAAGTCTGCAAAGGCTTACTTTTGCTGCCCACAAGAGTGCACAGAGAGAGCTGGCCACAGAGTAGGGTAATAGAAGGGGTATGTGGGTGAGGTGTGCAGAGCATTAGGGAGATTCAAGGAGCTACGTGGGGAGTTCTACAGGTGAGGCATCTCTAACAACCTGTAGGTAGGCTTCCTGGAGTCCACAAACTGGTTAGTTGGAACAACTGTGGAGCAGTTAGCAGCATCACAGAAGCTGGTGAGTTCTAAGCCTTTGCTGCTATGTCCCCAGCCTCTCCCAGCCCTTCAATCTTGCAGATCACCTCATCAATTCGGGTGAGGCAAAAAAGAAGTGTGTCTCTTGGTGTGTATTTGTATAAGAGAAGAATTTCCTAAGAGAAGAATTGCAATTGCCAGCTATGATAGTGGATTTCCCATTTCTTTTTTAAAAAATTTACATATGAGAAAGAAAGAGAGAGAGAGAGGGAGAGAGGGAGGGACTGAGAGAGGAGACACAGAATCTGAAGCAGGTTCCATCTCTGAGCTGTCAGCTCAGAGCCCGATGCAGGGCTCAAACTCACGAACCGTGAGATCATGACCTGAGCCAAAGTTGGATGCTCAACCAACTGAACCACCCAGGTACCCCTATTTCCCTTTTCAATTCTGCTTTTACTTCATTTATTTTGAAACTCATTACTGTGTGCACCCACTTTCAGAAGTGCTATGCCTTCTTGGTCAAATATTCCCCTTATACTTATGCAATGTCCCTCTTTATCCCTGACAGTATTCCTTGCTCTGAAATCTACTTTGTCTTAAGCTTCCAGAGTCACTCATTCTTTTGATTATTGTTTTCATGGTGTATCTTTTTTCCTCATTTCCTCTTCTTCATAGCCCCTGGGAATCACTAATCTACTCTCTGCCTGTATGGATTTGCTTATTGTGGACATTTCATATTAATAAAATATATGTGACTTTTGTATCCATCTTCTTTCATTTAGCATAATGTTTTCAGGTTCATCCATGTGGTAGCATGTATCAGTACTTTTTTTATGGCTTAATAATATCTTATTGATGTATACCACATTTTGTTTATACACTCATCCACTGATGGGCATTTGGGTTGTTTCTACTTTTTGGTTATTTGGAAAATAGTGCTATGGACATTCATATACAAATTTCTGTGTGAACATATGTTTTCAGTTTCCTAGGCTATATAGCTGGGAGTGATTTGCTACATTATATGGCAACTTGGTTTAACTTTTTGAAGGAACTGCTGACTGTTTTCTATAGCAGCATCACCATTTTACATTACCACCCGCAATGTATGAGAGGTCCAATTTTTCCACATCTTTGCCAACATCACCTTTACTTTTGAAAGATTTTTTGCTAAGTACAGAATTCTAGGTTAACAAGTTCACTGCCCCTTGTAGTACTTTTTAAAAATGTTGCTCCTTTATCTAGTGGCTTGTAAAATTTCTGATGAGAGGTTGGCTACCATTCTATTTGTTCCTATATACATGTTTTTTTCCCAAACTTTCTGTTTCTCCCTTTTTCACTGGTTCTCAGCAATCTTATTATGGTATATGTTGGTACAGTTTTCTTCATTTTTCCTTTACTGGCAAGTTGGTAAGATTTTTGGTTCTGTGGATTTACTGTTTTCATCACATTTGGATAGTTTGGTCTTTATTGTCCAAATATTTTTTTCTGATCAGCCCCCTCCTTTAGGATTAAGCTTGCATATAGATAGATAGACAGACATATATCTGGGAGTATATGTCTATAGATATATAGGTATACATATATCTATGTCTATATAGATATATCTATATAGATATAGATATAGATATGTATAATATAACTTGATATTGCCCTACAGGTCACTGATGTTTTCTTATTTTGTCTTTGTTTTTTCAGTCTTTCTTCTCCCTTTATTCTGTATAATTTCTAATGTTTTATCTTCAAATCCAACGCACTTACTTTTTAGTATTTATATGCTGTTAACCAAGCCATTTGGTGAATGTTTCATTTCACATGTTTTATTTTCATCTCTCATAGTCCAAGTCTTATTTACACCTTCCATTTCTATTCTCATCCTGTTTCTGTTTTTCTCCACCGTCTTAAACATAACAGAGTGTATTAGTTTCCTATTACTGCATAACAAATTACTACAAATCTGATAGCTTACAATAATACAAATTTATAATCTCACAGTTCTGTAGGTCAGAAATCTGAGCGTGGTATGGCTGGGTTGTCTGCTCAGATTCTTCACCATGCTGAAATCAAAGTGTCAGCATAGACTGTGATAGTCACCTAAGGTTTAGGGTCCTTTTCCAAGCTCACTAGTTTTTTGGCATAATTCACTTCCTTGAAAGTTTATGACTAAGCTTCCTGTATTCTTCTTGGCTGTGGATTAGGGACTGCTCTCAGCTTCTAAAAGCTAGCTGCAGATCCTTGCCATATGGTTCGCTTTGATGCTTTCCTTCTTTTAAAGGATTTACCTCATTAGGTTGGGCCCACTCACACTCAAAGGGAGGGGATTATACACAATGTATATAGGTCAGTGAGTGAGAATTTTCAGGACCATCTTAGAATTCTGCCTACCACGTACAGTATGTAATTATAATATTTGTTTAATATCCTTTTCTGCTAATTTTATTATCTATGTCATTTCTGGGTCTGTTTTGCATGATCATTTTTATGCCTGCTTATAGGTAATATTTTATACTCTTTTATTTAAACAATTTTTTTTGAACTGGTTGATAGACATTGTGATTTTTATATTGCTCAACGCTGAATTTTACTGTATTCCTTTAGATGTTGTTAGGCTTTGTTCTGGGATACATTTAGGTTATTGGAATCAGTAGGATCTTTTCGATACTTTCTTTAAAACATTAGAAAAAATTTACATTTATTTATTTTTGAAAGACAGAGAAGGACCAAGCATGGGCAGGAGAGGGGCAGAGAAAGCATGAGACACATAATCTGAGGCAGGCTCCAGGCTCTGAGTTGTCAGCAGAGCCCGACCCAGGGCTCAAACCCATGAACTGTGAAATCATGACCTGAGCTGAAGTCAGACGCTTAACTGATCGAGCTACCCAGGTGCCCCATATTTTCTTTTAAATTTTAAGGTGAATCCACAGAAAGGACTAATTTGACTCAACTATGCAAGAAATACCTATTTGATGTTTCCATGTTTTATGAGTTCCTACCATTCTGGCTGGTGCAAACATAAACTACTCAGCCCCCTGTAAGCTCCAGCGATGATTCTGACAATCCTTCCTGCTACCTCTTTGCCTAACCTTACATGGTTTTCTTAAACATATTTGTAGATCAGCCAAGAATCAAGGTGGTTTCCTTCAAATTTCTGGAAAGTTCTCTGTGCAGATCCTTTCTCTCTGGTATTTTGCCCTATAAATTCTAGCTGTTGGAGACTTTTAAACTCCAAATTCTATCTTCTGAACTTGAGACCATAGCGCTGTTTGTTTTCTCTCTTCCTATGTTTCTGCCTGGAGACACCTAGTCCATATGGTAGGGCAACCATAGGATTTGCTTCCCTTCTCTAAAGGAGAAGACTGTCCTGTGCTGCATGTTGTACAATGTCTCAAAACTGCCATTTTATATAATTTTTCACTTTGTAGTTGTTAAGAGGGGAGGGCATATCTTGTCCCTCCTAATTTTTCTGGTACGAAAATGGATGTCCATCCTCACCCACTTTGTATCTTTTTCTCTCACTCTCCTTTTCCTTTTCATTTTACAAGGTGAAATACAGGACCATTTTGGAAAATAACTTAAAGCAGAAATGAAGATTTAAAAAGAATTTAAAACTTGGAAAAAATAGGCTGTTGAGTAACTTTTCATGCAGTAATGCAAGAATAAAAAAATAAAATATAAGAATTAGCTTTATAGGATATAGAATTGATACTGATTAGGTCTCTAATACCATATATTTACCTCCCCTGCTCTCTTTTTAATCTTTCTAATTTATCAATATTCTATCTCAAGATAAAGAAATAGGGACAAAGGGTAGGAAATTAGAAATAAAATGAGCCACTGATCAAAGAACTGCCACACAGAGGGAAAATGAAGGAAGATGTGAGGAAAGATTCTGGCAATATACCAGAGTCAAAGAAATTAAAATATCTTTAAAAATACCACCTCCTTCTTTCAAATAGAACATTTCTCTTTAAAATAAAGGCAGTACTGATGTGGAAGGTTAGTCTAAATGCAAACTTTGTCTATACTGCCTTAACATAAGGTCGAGCAATAGCAAACTACAGCCCATGAGCTAAGTCCTGTCTGCTGCATATCCTTACAACAATGCTGTACGAAATCTTAGCTATGAGCACCACTGAATGCTGAGCTCTAGAAGTCCTTCTAATAAATTCTAAAATATAGGGGTGGTACTGGGGACCTCCTTATTTTCTTTGTTTTATATTCTATTTTTCAGGATGATGTCTAAAAACCTGATTTTCCTACTATGAAATTTTGGCCCTTATTTAAGTGGTTTCACTTTAAGTGGCCTTTTCCTGTACATATAACCAGTAAGTTCATCGATCTAATGACTCTTTCCTGCTTCCTTTCTTCCACTTCATGACTACATAACCTTGAGACTTTATCTTAGAGACCAAAGGGCTTCTTTGGTCAAAAGAAGCCACTCTGGACATTAGCCCACCCATCTGGTATTATTCTTTTTTTTTTTTTTTTTTTTTTTTTTTTTTTTTTTTTTTTTTTTTTTTTTTTTCAACGTTTATTTATTTTTGGGACAGAGAGAGACAGAGCATGAACGGGGGAGGGGCAGAGAGAGAGGGAGACACAGAATCGGAAACAGGCTCCAGGCTCTGAGCCATCAGCCCAGAGCCTGACGCGGGGCTCGAACTCCCGGACCGCGAGATCGTGACCTGGCTGAAGTCGGACGCCTAACCGACTGCGCCACCCAGGCGCCCCTGGTATTATTCTTAATCATTAGTTTATATCTCTTATCTCTGCAAATCATAAATTCCATAGTATTCCTTCACATGACTACCTTTAAACTGAATAAAGTGGGAATATGCTTTCATGAAATTAACAAAAAAATCAGCAGGCTCTTAAAAATATCTAGGGACAGATAAATTGGTGTTAGTGAGACGTTCAAGGTATTTTTTACATGAACCTTGGTTTTAATACTGTTATTCATAGTGGTTTCCTTAACTGTTTTCCAAAGTCAGTGATTTTTCCTGAAACCTGTACTGCCTATTGATAACAACAGAAGTCTTCTCAGATTTGTCAAACAAAGATGAGTCTAAAAATCTTAGGAGTTTTAAGGTATAGATGTGAGATTCAGTGTTACTGAAGTAATTACCTTAGTAATTTTTTCTTGTGATGGCTGTGTGATTAAGAGAAACAAAGGAGAAAAATACACAACAAATCCTCAGGAACAAGCAACATTCATTTGTACCCATTTTTTTGAAAACTCAAATCCACTGAGAAATTTTGAGTTAAAGTCTGTCAACATATATCATCACTATAATTAGGCTCTTATGCACAAGAGCCAATCATTTACGACAACTAAACATGAAACGTATTAAATTTATAACCTATGTTTACCCTGAGCCCTTTCATTTTATTCTGACTCATGTGAATTCTATGAACAGAGACAATGTAAAAATGATTCATTAGGAAATATGATTTTTCCAATCTATACACAATATCTTATTTTCATTTATAATTTTAAGTAGTTTTAAAAATCATTTAAGGAATCACTTTAGTGCTCAGTTTAAAATATCTTCATTTTCTTCATTCACTTTTCTAAGGAAAAGTAATAGGAATGCAATCTGATGTGCACTGTACCTTTAAATGACTGCTGGAGGCAACATCATGTAAGGGCAGAATCCCACCTAGATTTTCACAATTAACATTAGCACCAGCTTTTAACAACTCTACAATTATATCATTAGATCCCTTACTAGATGACTCATGGAGTGGTGTCCAACCTAAAAAAAGGAAAAAAGAAAAAGCCAAACAAGCTACTGCTTAAAAATCAACATTCATGTAATATCTCCATTCTTAAGTTTATTTGCACTAATGTAATTAGTATCTATATTGATTCAAATGTATACACTAAGCATTAGACAAGAAATTATACTGAAAACCGTGACCTTAAAATGTGTTTCATTTTGGGGGCGCTTGGGTGGCTCAGTCAGTTAAGCATCTGACTCTTTGTTTTGGCTCAGGTCATGATTTCAACGTTCGTTTGAGCCGTACATCCAAGCCCTTGCATGGAATTCTCTCTCTCCCTTTCATTCTCCCTCTCTCTCTGCCCCTCCAGCTCTCTCTCTCTCAAAATAAATAAATAAACTTAAAAAAATGTGTTTCATTTTTGTCAACAAATTGATCTCGGGAAAAAGTATTTCTTGATACAAGGGTCAAAGAAAAGACTCAGAGAACATAAAATATAATGGGACTAAATTTTTTCACCTCAGATATTAAAATAGAGTACGATCATGTCTGACTTTCTTATTTGTATCACTGCATTGTCACTTATGTCTTTAAAATGATATATGATTCTTGAAGTCAACCTCTGAGTTTATCCCTCTGTTAATTCCTCACACGATGTTTGTGCTTGAGCAAAATGTTAGAAGATCAATTTAAAAATGGAGGCTTAGGGGCGCCTGGGTGGCGCAGTCGGTTAAGCGTGCGACTTCAGCCAGGTCACGATCTCGCGGTCTGTGAGTTCGAGCCCCGCGTCAGGCTCTGGGCTGATGGCTCGGAGCCTGGAGCCTGTTTCCGATTCTGTGTCTCCCTCTCTCTCTGCCCCTCCCCCGTTCATGCTCTGTCTCTCTCTGTCCCCAAAATAAATAAACGTTGAAAAAAAAAAATTAAAAAAAAAAAAAATGGAGGCTTAAAATTAAAATTAACAAAGAGAGACAAAAGGAACTATGTAAAGAGAGGGGAAAGAGAAGGGACAGGGAAATGGGAAAAAATTGGCATTCTCTCCAAAGTGAGAGAACAGTATTAAGGCCTCTAAGGAAAAGGCCTAAATAAAGCTCCCCTTACTCCCCATTCTGTATACTCCCTCTGAATGCTCCCATATGTATGTTAGAAACTGCTTCAGAGGAGGTTATTTTAGCAACTAGAGAAAACCAAGATAAATTTAACTATTCAACTAAATAATATATTATAAAAAAGAAAATTCAAAGTTAGCAGCCAGGATCAAAATTGGGAGGGGGGATGAAATGTGTAGTTCAGTGAGTTCAAGTGATAAAGACAATTAAAATTTAAAGAATCCAAACCTGCATTATCTTTTACATTCACGTCTGCTCCGGATTCTATTAGAGCCTTCACCAGAGACAAATTTCCTCTTGTGGCAGCCAAATGAAGCCGGCTTTTCCTTCTGGAATGCCTCTTATTGATTCCAGCTGTTTTCATTTCTGAAAATTTGTCAAGCAAAACTGAGGCTTCTTTTCTGCCAAATGCTGATTATTACAAAGGAGCTTAGAAAATACAGAGCAACTTCCTTAAAATATCCTAAGTAGGGTACACTATACAAAGCATACATCGATATCATCGCTATTACTGTTTTAAAATGTAACTTGTGGAGAAACTGTAGAGCATCTAAGCACATTACTTTGCATTCATTCTAACAGTTACTCAGTCACTCAATAAGATTAAAACAAACTTACTACAGTTCTACACTCCTCTCATTCTCAGTAGTCCTGTAATAATGGATAACATTTTCTTAAAACAAATTGTGATTTTATAAAACTCCTCTATTCTCTATCTCAGTGAGTGTCTTTCTGATCACAAAAGATGCCAAAAACCTAATTATGGCCTATTGACTGGTTTTTCTTCCATAAAGCATGTAGTACAATATCATTATCCAAAGATTTTAAAATATATTTATTTATTTTTGAGAGAGAAAGAGGGTGTGTGTGTGCATGAGCAGGGGAGGGGTAGAGAGAGGGAGGGAGAGAGAATCCCAAGCAGGCTTTGCACTGTCAGAGCAGAGCCTGATGCAGGGCTCTAACCCCAAGAACCATGAGATCATGACCTGAGCCAGAGTCAGGAGTCAGACACTTAACTGACTGATTCACGCAGGTGGCCCCAAAGATTTTTAAAAGTCTTTTCTTTGCACAAGTTAGAAAGACCTAAGTTGGAGCGAAAACACACAAACCAACAACAACAAAACAAAAGAACCATATTTCCTTCTTAATTTCTTCCCTAAACCATGTTAAAATGATGGTAAAAGGTTTTTTTAAATACCATATAAGGACAAAAGAAGACGAAACAATGGAGGACAGAGGCGTCAACAACTTTTTGGGAATCAGAAAATTAGTGACAGAGAAGAGTTAACTGACTTGGTAGACTGAGGGAAATGACTCAACCCAAATGGCTGCAAAAAGAATTATAGAGAAAGAGAGTCCACCTGAAACCCAGCACTTGAGGACATCAAATACCATGGAAGGCAGGGTGCATGCAACTGGGCTAGAAGTGCAGAGATTGACTGAAAAAAAACAAAAAACAAAACACCATATATAGAAAAGTTGGGAATCCAAGTTCCCTTCCCTAATCCTGTAGTGTCTGGCAACCATTCCTCTTACCAAGGTCCCCATCCCCAAGCCAGGTAACTGGAGGTTATTTTCTGTAGAAATTGTATCAGAGAAGCTTCAGAGTGAGACATAAGGCAAAGTTGAGGTTTAGAGTGATGAAACAGAAAGGATATTCATTATACCAGTAGTTCTCAAATGTAGTCCCAGATTAGCAGTTATCAGTATGACCTGGGAAATGTGTTCAAAATGCAAATTCTCCAGCCCACTCCAAAAGCCTACTGTAGAGGGCAGACTTTAAGATAACTCCTGGGGAGCTTGGGTGGCTCAGCCAGTTGAGTGTCAGACTCTTGATTTCTGCTCAGGTCGTGATCTCAAGGTTGAGACACTGAGCCTGTTTGGGATTCCCTCTCTCCCTCTCTGCCCCTCCCCTGCCTGTGCATGTGCTCTCTTTCAAAATAAATTAACTTAAAAACAAAACAAACACAAAACTTCTAATGATCCCCATCTCCTGGTATTTATGGCCTTGGATAATCCCTTCCTCTTGAATAATTTGCTTCTAACCAATAGAAGACCTCAATATCAAGGGTATATTTCATTCCCTTCATTAGGCTACAAGACACTAACATTTTCTGTCTTGCTAGCAAATTTGCTCTATCACCTTCAACTTGCATGTTTTGATGAACCAAGTGGACATGCTGGAAAAACTCATGAAGGAATAAACTGAGGATGACCACAAACTGGCCACAACCCTCAAGGAACTGAATTCTGACAACCACCACATGAGCTTGAAAATGGCTCCTTCCCTTGTTGAGACATCAGATGAGACCTGTCTTGGCCAACGGCTTGCTTGTAGCCTATAAAATAAACTGAGCAGAAGACCTGCTTAAGCCATACCCAATTCCTGACCTGCAGCAACTATGAGGTTGAAAAATGTGTGTTGTTTTAAACTAAGTTTGTGAATTTGTTATATACCAAGAGAGAACACACCTAATAAATCAGATGTTTTGAGGCTAGAGTCCAGCAATATGTATTTTAATAAGCTTTTCAGGTGATTTTGATGCAGGATAAGGTTTGCAAACCATTGCTTTAAACCTTAAGACCCTCTCCCTGCTCCATTTCCTAAATGGCAGCAAGAGGATTCTTTGATTATATGAATCACAGGAATAGTAACAGCCTCATGGCTATCTTCCACTGACGTCCAGACAAAATCATATTGCTCTTCAGAAATTTGTGCTCAGTGGGGTGCCTGGGTGGCTCAGTCAGTTAAGTGTCTGACTTCGGTGCAGGTCACGATCTCAAGATTCGTGGTTCTGAGCCCTGCGTCGGACTTTGTGCTGACAGCTCAGAACCTGGAGCCTGCTTCAGATTCTGTGTCTCCCTCTCTCTCTGCCCCTCCCCTGCTCATGTTCTCTCTCTCTCTCAAAAATAAACATTAAAAAAAAGAAGAAGAAATTTGCACTCAGGAATTCTTTACTGGAACAATAAAGACATTTTATGTCTATTATATATATTCAATATTTTATATACATATATAGAGAACATATTTTAAAATTATGAAATACCCAAAATGGCAGACCTGCAGTTTTCAAGTTTGAACTGAAAAATCTCTCCCAGTCATTGTTACTGTGAATGGTCCAAACCTTCTCACCTTGTTCTTTGTGTTATAGCAAAGGAGGTAGGCACATAATAAACATTTTGGGGCAAAAACTCTAAAATTCTTCAAAGTTATTGTCATCATAAATTTCTACACCATGTAACTAAAATTTTAAAATAAAATCTGGAAAAAAAAACTAGAAAGGAAACAAAGAGGACTCAATTTAAACTTGTAAAAAAACTTCATAAAGTCAACTGTTGTTAATACTGAGTACTTTTTAATAGCATTATACTTTATTAATAAATTAATAAATATTAATAATTATTAAAAATATAATATTGAATACATGGTATTAAGATTTATTTTTAGTTTGTGAGTTGGTTTTTTGAGAGTGAGTAGGGGAGGGTCAAAGAGAACGGGAGAGAGAAAATCCCAAGCAAGCTCGTGCTGTCAGTGCAGAGCCCGACACAGGTCTCGAACCCACGAACCATGAGATCAAGAGTTACCTGATCTGTAACCAGGAGTTGGAGGCTTAACCAACTGAGCCATCCAGCCACCCCAATAATATTATTTATTAATAAAGTAGAATGCTATTAAATACTCAGCTTTCAGTTACTTTGTATGTGATCTATTCTTTACTCTCTGGAAGCTCAAGATCCTTAATTATATCTGCAGAGATTCTTTTTCTAAATAAGAGAATATTCACCTCTATATAAAATAATATCACAGGTTCCAGGGATTAAGACATGGACATGTTTTGGAGGACCACTATTCAACCCACCACAGGAGGGATGTATAAGAAGCTCTTTAGATTACACAAGAGAGGGACAATGGGACAAGGTTCTCAGAGAATGCCTAATCCAGTGTCCTTCCTACCTCTTAAGAAACAATAGACAAATGAACTTTTCAGTGTTTAATATTTAACCTGAAGTGGCTTGGCTCAGCCTATTGTTCACCACAGCCTTATCTCCAAGGACCATCAAAAGAGAGTTAGCTTGTCTATATTGCCAAGCACACACAGTTCATTCATCTGACAAAATGAAAACCAGTGGCTACTCTTTAATTTCCCTTATGCTGAAAGGGCTCTCTGGAAGCTGTTAAGTGATCTGGCACAGTTCAGATGTGCTGCCCCCACTCAATATCATTGCTGTCTGTTTATTTTACCTCCTCTAACATTTCAAGTTAAAAGTCTTAGGCAGAAATATGACAAGAATGTATCTGAAGACTAATGGATTCTCAAGTGGCACTTTATAGTAAAACCATCTGATAAATATAGCTGAAGTAATCTTACAACCTAGTGAATGAGAAAAAAAATCAACCGTAAATGTGAAAGTTTAGCAGTTCTCTGAAGTAGAGTGGATTGCTGGGATTGATCATGTCAACTTTTACCTAGACAAGATAGAAATACAAACCTTGGCTGCGGGTAGCTTTCAAAAAATTTTGTCTTTTTCTCAAATTCCGGACTTTTTTGTGTTTCTGGATACCAGTAGACATTTGAATTTCAGAATCTGTTTTTTCTTTTTTCTCAATGTTTCTCACAGAGTTTTCATCTCCATTGATATTAGTTAATTTCTCACCTGCAAACCAAACATTTTGCAACATACAGTTCTCCTTACTAGCTACATGATTAGAAAAGAGTCTGGTCACATAACTGTTCCAAGTTTCTGTTCCTACCTGGACTGGGGTGTGTGTGTGTGTGTGTGTGTGTGTGTGTGTGTGT